AAATCTTCGGGGATTTTTATAATTATCCATATGAAGCAAAGAAAGGGAACGAACCTTCTCGCAATGCTTACACTGCTGATCAAAGTCGAGGTTTGAAGCCACAGCCTTTGTTTTCGACTTGGCGGGATTTCCAACCACCACCCAGCTTTTAGTGAAGCTACTGGAAAAGTGGAAAAAAAGAACAAAGTAGTGTGAAATGTTTGGATTGAGAAAAACAAATCACAATATCAGCTAAATTCTGATAATTAACAAATAAGTTATTTTAGAGATAAAGGGAAAACAAACACACACACACACACACAAATACGAACCTTGAAATTGCTTCGTCCTGCAAGCTCATCAAGGCTCTAATCCCTCCACAGCAGCTATGACCCACAATCAGTATATTCTCGACCTGCAAAGATACATTTGTTTAAATGCACAAAAAAAACACATACAAACACACACACACTCCAAGAGAGAAATTCAGCATATTTTCGGTCAGGTTCTTACTTCAAGAGAATTAACAGCAAATTCGAGGGCGGCATTTGTTTCTGAAACTCCACTCTGCAACATTGACGAAAATAGATTTCGTTCAATCTACTCATATGCTTATGAATTTTAAACCGTTTTAACACAAAAATAGTAGAAACAATAACAATAGTAATGAAGGAGACAAAAGGTAAATGTACATCATGTGGGGGAACTAAGTTGGCCACGTTGCGAACCACAAAGGCTTCACCCGGTTCAAATCCTAGGATCTTCGAGGGACAAACTCGTGAGTCTGCACAGGCAATCACCATGAACTGCCCCTCAAAATGTTAAGACTTTTCCTCCCCAATCAAATGTTCGAGAATAATTTTTGATGAAAAAATAAAAGCAACAATAAGTATCAGTTTAGGAGTACCTTTGGTGTTTGGGCCTCAGAAAGCCTTTGGTAGTGTTCTAAGTTGCTCCTGGAACAAAAACAACAACAAAATAACAGGTGAGCCTCTAAATTCCATATAGAGGCTCTGCAAATTCTGAACCGGTAATTTTAGGCGGTAATTATATAAAAGTCTAGATTTTGGTTCTAATTTCCACAAAAAAGGACTCATATATAGTTAGTGAATTATTTATGCTGGACCAAACTTGAGATGTTTATATATAAATCGGTTTTCAGAGGTATATTTTGCTATTGCCTTCAAGAAACAGAACTAAAAGAATTTGTAATTTGACAACATGAAAGCATGCTGACATAAACAAACTCATAAAATTCTTACAAGTATTTATCTTTTTTGAAATTAAGAAATCTATGTTTGAGCTCCTTGAAATGATCATCGGGCACCTTATCCATGACATCCTGAGCTATGCCTGAAGACTCCATTGCAACCTTCAATCTGAACCTTTGATTTCTTGTATATCCTTTACAAGCATCAGCACTGCATAAAACAGAATGGATTAGTTTAGCACCCAACTTTATCACGGCATACATAATATAAAACCAACATATAAGCATGTGCATTCACAAATATCGCATTTCAAGTTAGTTATGCACGGCGTACGACCTCAAACTACCATCTTCGTAAAATATTTTTCTTCAGATCCGTAAGCTTAAGGTTCTGTTCTCAAGTTTTAGGCAAGCATAGTTACATTTAGAAAGATCATCATTTCATTTCAAGATTTCCAAGGCTCTAAATAAAACCTTCCACATCATAAAAACAGGGGAATTCTACATATTTCATCGGAAAATCTCAATTCAACACGAAAATACGAAGAAACCACTTAAAAAATCACTATAAACGTCCAAGATCTTTAATTTTTATAGAAGTTCACAGAGATCACATGAAAAATCAGAAATATCCAAGATTTTCATCACTTAATTAAGAAATTCATAAATCTCAAGATCACAGGTAGTACTAGAAAATACCCAAGATTAGAACTTTTCATGACTTACTGAAAGGAATTCATAAATCTCAAGTGGGTCCGCTCAACTTCCACAGATCTCAACTTGTAACCAAAGATCTTCCATAAAATCCCAAAAAACAAAACATTCCCGTAAAGTGAGCAGACATAAAATTTACCGACACAAAAATGAAAAGGCAGCAACATAAACAAAATGAGGATGAAAAGAAATTACCTCGGAGCCTTTAGCTGAAGCTTCACGGAGGTCCATGGGAGAAGAAGAAGCAAGGGAAGAAGATTGAAAAACCACGCGAGCCATTGCAAGAGAAATAACGACAAATTGCTTAGAGATGGAAGTGGAAAAAAAAAAATGGCTTAGTTATGAGTGTACTGAACTCAGGTATTGCTAAATGGGGTTCGAAATTCGATTAATTAATCGAGTTTTTAGGTTGGTTGTTGGATCAGAAGACAACTCTGTTCCTCCCAGAATGACGGAGAAAACGATGCTACCTTTAAATTGCAAAAGCATGGGAAAATCGAGTGGTTTGTAAGAAAATAGATTTGGTTTATTGCAAGAAATGAAATGGAAATTGGGGGAGCACGTGTTGGTGGGTCAGTTAGAACTACCATTGGCAGGACGCACCAAGGGCCAGGCTTCATTTTGGGCTCGGAAGCCCATCTTGATTAAAACTTGGGCCAGCATATAAAATGTTTACTTTTTCAATATAAAAACAAATAAATAAATAAACAGTTTTTTTAAAAATAAAAAACGTAAAAGATTACCTGCGCCAANGGATCTATTTAAAAGAATAAAATTGAGGATTAGTCTTGATGGAAGTTAAGAGCATAAAGATTGGTGGTCATTTGATTATAAAAAGATTTTAATTGTCATGTCATTGTTAATTATTATGGAGACCCTTTGCAAAATAAAAATTATTTTTATATATTTATGTGATAAATATTTAATAATTAAGATTACAGATGTAAGATGGAAACAACTTTGACGAGATAAAATTGCAACCAAATCTAATGTAACAAAGAAGTAAAATACATAGCACATAAACGACATGAACCTCTGATGGGTCAAGAGGGTTAGTTTCAGGTAAAACGACTCAGAGTTTTTTAGTCTTATTCACATTAGATCGGGTGAGAGTATCTGCAACCAAATCGAATGTAACAAAGAAGCAAAATACATAGCAAACAAACGACATGAACCTCATAATGGGTCGAGAGGGTTAGGTTCAGGTAAAACGACTCGAGTTTTTTAGTCTTATTCACACTTGATCCGGTGAGAGCATCTTCAGCGTGGAACCGTCTACACTTAGAAAAAATGCTTAATGACATAATATGAATGGAATTGTCAATATGGAATTATTTAGAAAGAGACTTATGTTTTTTGTAACTTCCAAATGCACCATGTTTTTATTTGTAAACAACCAAATCATAAAGTTTGGCTCAGTTTTCAACAACTATTGTGATAGAATTGATTGACTATGTTTTATTCTATCATCTCACAACATCATTTTTATCAAAAGTAGAAATAGTAAGTTTGTTTTGCATTGAGCATTATAAATACCATGTTTATAAAGGAATACAACATTACTTTTAATGTGTGATTACTTGTAAATTCAAGGTAATTCATGTAATCAATTTTTTGTTTTCTTTCTTCTTAATTCATTTTTTTATTAAATTAAAATCACGAATGCTTGTCATCAAAAATTGTTTTCACTCCTCATAATTGAATTTTTTATTGATTTGTTTTCAATTCTTTTTAGACTTCTTGATTTGTTGCTCACGAGATGATGAACAAGAAGAAAAATAATTTCTGAATTTCACGGAAATCGGATTCTGGTAGGATAAATTCCTTTGAAATTTCTCAAGTCATGACTTCTCCTTCAATCACTTGGTTGCCCGTGAAAACCCTTTTCTATGTCTGCGCAATTTTTTTCCCACAATTTCTAAGAGCATGATTGGATATAAAAAGTTTTTGTTTTGATTGGATTTTTGGTTTGGGTTGGTTAAATTTGAAAAAGTTGATATGGTTAGTTGTTAGTGGATATAATAAAATAATATTTAAAATAAAATGATTAAAATTAAATTAATGTAAAAGTAGGAGAGAGAAGATGTGATGTGATGGTTAGTTAAAATTATGTGAGTTGATGAATAGCGAATTAAGGTTGATGTTGTGTGTAAAAATGATTGATTGATATTATTTAATTATATTAATAATATTGATGATAGTGGAGTTGAGTTAAAGTTGAGTTGATGTTGTGTGTAAAAATGATTGATTGATATTATTTAATTATATTAATAATATTGATGATAGTGGAGTTGAGTTAAAATTGAGTTAAAAAAAGTAGTTGAGTTAAAAATGATTGATTTTTTAAGTTGAATTTATATCCAATCATGCTCTAAGATTTTGGCACGATAATGGAGTCACGCGTTCAATTCATACTTGAATTCGGTCCTAATCTAAAAAAAAAAAAAATATTTACACTATCCAACTCAGTGTATTCTTTTGATATGATTTGGACTAGTTAATGACTTTTCAAACGAAACATACATTTGATGTAATTAACGTTATGTTATATTCATGTTTTTGCAATCATTTAATAGTAAAAAGTGAATTTAAATCTACAAAAACTACCCGAAAAACAATATTAATTTGACAAGGGTTACGAAGCACAAAAAGTTAAAACATACGATTACGCTGCATTTAAAGTTCCCTTATCCAATTATTTAGGAAAAATTGTGTGCAACTTTTTAAAATTTAAATGCAGCGATTTTTTTGGAGTCTTATGTTTTTTTTTAAATATGTTTTACCGAAATTTTGGTAAGTTCATATCAATTTTTTTTATTGGTTAAGTTCATATCATTTTATTTAGAAAAGAGACAGTTGCATAAACATTAACAATTTATTTTAATTTTTTATTATAATTATTTTCAATTCAATTTGCTTGGTACAAAAATCGGTGCAATGTTAGGAAAATTCGGTTGCATTTTTAGGAAAAATTGATGATTTTTTTATTTAGTTTTAAAAAAATTCAGATCAATTTGTTTGATAAAAAAATCGGTTTATTGGTAGAAAAATCGGTTTCATTTCCAGGAGTAACTAATGATTGTTTTTAATTTTTCTTAATTGAAATTTAGAATTAGATTTAAAAGAAATAATGGGTGAAAATCCCTAAAAAATTTTACTTTTTTTTTCTATTTTAATTTTGTTTAATAAATAAGATTTTTTAATTTTTTTTTTTAAATTTGTTAACTAATAACTAATAATATGCAATTTTGGATAAATTCGAACACATATGTAGTACTTTACGTGCCAAAGAATCAAATCAATAATGTTGTACATAAGGAGTGTTTAATAACATATAAATTTCATAAAACTTTTAATGGCATGAGACAATTTAAATACATAAATATTTTTTAAAAAATAAATAAGTAATAAATGCTCACGTGCATCGCACGGGTAACGTACTAGTACTGAAGATAAGATTGTTGCAATTTATTTGTTACCCATTTGTTATCTATGACTAATGGTAAGATAAATGTTACATTTACTAAATTATCCTTCAAATAAAGTTGTTTATATTTTCTCATTTTCCATGCAAAGGTGCCCGGTTTGTAATTGGTTTTTTGCATGCGGTGTTTTAAAAAAATAAAATTCTCTCATAACTGGAAATTTTATCAATTTCTTATTATCTTATTTTTCCATTTTGAAGCAATGTTTACGTATGTCATATTTAGAGAGCAAATAACAGATGTAATTTTTTTCCTTTTCACGTTATTTATTTTTTCTTCTCTTGTGCTTATTGTTTTAATTTTTTTTTAATACGAAAATAATGATTTTGTCATACATACGTAAGGGCCCGTTTTTATTTCAATTATGTTATGATGCATCACCTAGAAATGAAACAGCCAAAGGCGTTCGGATCCATGTGAAGTTGTTGCACAAATGTTCTATCGCTAATGCATATTAGTTCTTTCATATGCTCAGTTTGCTTTGGCAATTTACCGGACATAGTAAACGTAGCCGGTGCTTCACTAGACCTACTACTACGCGACCGATTCCTTTGGAATAAGTTTATTTCTAACAAAACCAAGCAAGAACATGTGATTGAGCATGCTAATTATTTCATCATCAACCACCAAAATTACTTCGACGTCCTCCATTTCAATGTCCATGTTTACCAACAAGAATCTAAAACACAAAGCATTCATAATGCGCGTCAATTATTTATCCCTTGAAGAACCTATAAATTCTTGTACAAAGAAGCCTAAACTATATTTGTTGTTTCACATTTTTTTATCTCAATCGAAAAACGAAAAATAATAACCACCCAACCCCTATTTAGCAAGTTATATAGGTCACTAATCTATTTAACGCAAACGCTACAGCCCAGGAAATCTATTTACCCCAACAAGCATTTTATTCTCCTCGCCATTGGCTCGCTGAGCACGACGACCAGGAAATAAAAAATTAAAAATTAATAAACGCATTCCAATGACAAAAATTAAAAATAAAACACATTGTCGGACCAACAGGAAAAAGAAGCTCCGGAACGGTTCGTTGACACAAAAAAAAGGCCCAAATTAGTTGGTACCATGCTATTGTGGGATACAAGGAAACAAATAAGCCCCATTCATTAAAAATAAAAAAAAAATAAAAAAGTAATTTGTAAAATGTGTAGCTCACTGATCCTATCGATCTGTGTTGAGAGAAAAAATGGAACCTCTGCAAAATAAAATGGTGTTAGGTAGCCTACAATAATGGTGAGGGTTGTGGGGGTAAATTATTGCACGCACAAGGGTAGAACAGACTTAAAATAAAAAATTTAGGGATAGTAACGTAATTTCACAGAACAGGTACTGTTGGGATTTGCTGAATCTTGCCCCCCAAGGCCGGATCGAATAATCGCTGCAAACCAAGATTAGGGAAGATTGAGTCGCGGGCTGGAAGAAATCGGACGGGCCTTAATCTCACCTAACAAACATTGTTTTTGGGGCAGATAAGTGTGCCAATCTTATCTAATCTTTGGTAACAAACGTGCTCTTAAATTGACAAGGGTTACGAAGCACAAAAAGTTAACACATACGATTACGAAATACTAGAAATTGTCATATAGGCTCAAAAAAATCAACAATAAAAGGCACAATGGTAACAAAGATCAATATCATAGAACCTTTCTATATAGTGACATGAATATTGTCATTCTTATCATGGACATATAAATTCTATCATGCAAGGATAGCATCAAATAGATGCACACAAACCACGCAAACACGAAACAAATTCACCAAAAACAAAAGGCAACAAAAACACTTCAAGAAACATGGGCATATATATATATATATATATATATATATATATATATATATATATATATGCATCACATTGAAAACTATGATCAAAAGTACTTACATAGAGAGTGAGAGATATTCACACTCCTATATATGGTCATCATTTATGTTCAGATGCGCTTGTTTACATCTCGAGCAAATATCGCCTTGAAAACCTTTCTTTCTCAACTCAAAAGAAGTATATAAGTAACAACTCCAACGAAATAAACAAAACGAATAAAGTATTCATCATCTCTTTTCAGAGGACTAATGCTAGCAAGCAGACAATGGAAAACACGTGCATGTATCGCAGATAAGAAACTAATACTGTATGTAAGAGTATAATTATAGTACTATTACGATGATATCGACAGATAAAGTAAAAACATTAAGTAAGGGCACTTTTGGAAGTTTCAGTTCGAAAATGCCTAGGGTTCTTATTAGGACTGCACTAAGGACAAATGGTGCATTCGAAGTCTTAAAATAAGTCATGAGAAACAGAGACTCAGCTGATCAGTATAGAACTCAATTACAATATAAAACATGCCAGCCAGCCAAAGATGAAACTCATCACCAAATATGTCTGTGCTATTCAACTAACTAGTTGATAAGCAACAATGCAACAGATTATATCATAAGCCTTAATTCCATAACTTACTATCAAAAAATTACTAAACAAACAAAGTATTATACGACATAATCACACAGAGAACTTATCCGCAGCACGTTCAAAAATCCACGTAACAAGTAAAGAAACAAGTACACCAAAAGCCAAATTTAACGTCCAAAACTCCAAAAATAATCGCAGTTTAACCTCAAAAAAAGAAAAAAACAAAAACCAACTGTACGAGTTTCCAACACAATCCAAAATCATCACTTACCACCAAAAGCCCAAATTTTCGACTAAAAACAGAACAGTACACCACAACAAACGAGGTTTTACTTACTTCATCAAGCCACCTTGACTACCTTATCTTCAGCCACGCCATTAAGGATCGGGGGAAGATTGCTGAATAATTCATCGAGACCCTCGAAAAACCCACTCCCTTCAATGCTATCATCCTCCTTATTATTCGCACCCAAAGCAGGCTCTTCAGCTTCGTTCCTCAACTCCACGTTCAGATCCAGCTTCTCGAAACTCTTTGCAACCCTATTATTGTGTTGTTTCTTGCCAGCTGTCACATTATTACAACCTTCATCGACAAGTACTTTCCTCGAGCGCTTGTTGTGGGTCCCACCAGCAGCAGCCGCCGCTTTCCTAATTTTGACGTTCGCCGATTTATTATTCCCTCCTTTTCGAGTACTAACATCATTCCAGTCTATGTCGGACTCGCCCGAACTGGATATATCGACAAAAGGGTCATTTTCGTCATCTTCGTCGATGTAAACCCAAGGGCCTCGGTATCTGGGCCCCGTTTTTGAGGGAGGGTAGTTATTTTTCTTCCAATCTTCCATTGAAAAGCCTAAAGGGATAAAACCCCAGCAGCAAAAGTACGCGTCTTGCCCTTCTGGGACAGGTGGCGGCGAAGGAATCACCACGGCTTGAAATGTCATCTTGCAGTTCTGACATCTCATTGCACAGTCGACGTAAATCCTAGGATACTCATACATGTAATAGCAATAAGGGCAGGTGGTCCAGAAAGTTAATTCATTGTCATTCTCCACATTTTCTACATTTTCCTCGATATCTTGTTCGACATTTTCGAGATTTTCCTCTACGTCTTGTTCGACGCTTTCTACGTTTTCCTCTACGCCCTGTTCGACATTCTCTATATTCTCCTCGACATTTTCACAAACACTTGGAGGGCTATTATCACCAGCAATTGGGTAATCATGCTGGGAATGTTTTTCTTTACAATTATTACTATTATTATCAATCAATTGCTCATGATATGTCCTAGATGCAGGAGGAGCCACATAAAAACTAGAAAAGCTTGAATAATTTTCTTGATTACCGACCGGATTATTGACCGGTTCATGAGTGGGCATTGAACCGAAGGCAATATTAGAACCCGAATGTAAGCCCATGAAATTCTGAGGCTCACGGGTCGGGCCGCCGACCGCCGGCCCGACCTGCGGTTGTTGTACCTGTAGTTGCTGAACCGGAGCAAATTGGGTCGGTGCTACGCCCCTACTCTCACCGCCATGCACCGGCGGGTTGGGGAAAAAGAAATTCTGCTGGAATCCGGGTAGAGGCGGGACGAACGGGTCGGGTTGGTGGGGCGGCTGGAAAAAACCGAGCTGCTTGTCGTAAAGGGCCTTGCTGGCGGGATCGGAGATGATGGACCAGGCGTCGACGACGAGGCGGTAGGCCTCCTCCGCGAAGGGGAACCTGTTCCGCTGCGGGTTGAGGCGGAGTACGAGGCTCCGGTACTGGTCGGCGACGAGGCCGGCGTCGGCGCCCTGCGGCGGCGCGAGGCGGAGGATTGAGTAGAAATCGGGCTGGTTGGTTCCGATCCGGCGGTCTCCGGCGATGAGCGTGTCGACGACGGCGATGATGTCGTCGGCGGAGGAGAGCGTCGAGTCGGCGTCGCGCGCCCGGGCGGCGAAGGACCTGCTCCCGAGGAGGTCGCGCGTGGAGAGGAGCTTCTCGGCGATGGTGAGCCACCGGATGGCCTCCGCACGGGTGGCGGTGCCGGAGGTGAAAAAGGGGTGTTCCATTTTTTTTATGTGGGGTCGCCGGAAAATAAAGATACTATATAAAATGCAGAGGAAAAATGGGGAGTGAGCATTTAAATGTGGATAGAATTTGAGGGAGGTGGTGGGGTGAAAGACGGAAAGGGGCTTGCGGCTTGGGATTTTGGCGTGGGGAGACACGTGTGAGAGGGTGGATGAGGGTAAGAAGGGAATTCCAAGTGACTGAGTGACGTTGGACTCTCGGTTGTCGGGACACAGTGTTAGGTCAAATCAAGGACGATTGGATGTAATAAAATTTTGGTGGTACTTTTTGTAATCTTGAATTGAAAAAATGTTATGATTATAATGGAAGGAAGACTTTTTGAAAGATTTCATCCATTGGATTTTCGTAATTTTATTATTTTTATTTTTACAAACCTAAAAGCAACATACCAAGAAAAGGCTTTTACAACTAAATTCTAAAACTTGAAAATTCGTGTACATTGCTCACATGTATTTTTTAATATGAACATACGTACACATATGGTACATTTTACTTTTCATTAATATGAATTTATTATTTTTTTTATAAATTATAAATTTACCTCATTGATTAAATTAAAATATAATAAACATTCTGAAATTGCAAATAGGTTTCTGAAAATGATCTAATTTTCAGAAATAAACACTAATCCCAAATTGCAGGCCCTTCTCGGCCATCACCAGCTCGAACGCGAGTGCGATTTATCAGGGCTCGGACCAACTTCGGCTCGACTCAGGCAGGCCATATCCGCCAGCACCATCTCCCTTCCCTTAATCGCCGCTGCGTGGATGTTGGTTCTCCAGTCGGCCGCCAGGTGCAGGGTCATGCAATCGCTTGCGTCGGGCTCGTCGACGATCTCGAGCCTCCAAACGGACAACCCGACTTTACACGGGTCGCAACTAGTGAAAGAAAAAACTTGTATTTTGTTAAAGTTGGAAATAATAAATATATAACATTTTACAATAAAGAACTACGTGAATGTACAATATTATTTTAAATTTTAAAAACTAATATAGATACAATCTTAGTAGTTTTACTTTAAATATTTTTATTCACAACACATAATTTTCATGATGTTCGTAACTCTATATATTGGTTTACCATGACCAAATACATAATCTAATGCTAGACAATATAACCATACAAAATAAACAATACACATTGACAATGACATGTTTCGGATTTAAATATCGTGCCCTCAGTTTTTAAGGGGGCGATTGATAAGCCGTCAAAATCAGTTAAAATCGATCAAAATTGATCATGAGTTTTTTTCGAAATGATAAATTTTATAAATATTCATAAACAAACAAAATAGATCACATCAGACTATAACAATTACACGGCCGAAGAGCATCCATCCCGCTGAATCAAGTAGAGAGAACTACATCAATGGTAGCCTAGAACCTACCTAAAGCAACACAAACACACAACGCTCCCAAAAGGAGACAAATAAACAAAAGTTATCACATGTAGATAATACACAGAACGCACTCTCAATAGGGGAGAGTGAAGACAAGAAAACAACCTATACACAAACAGAATTACCTAAAATACAAAGAAAACAACTACACAACCCTTCCCGCATCAGTCAACCACACCAAGCAAAACAACGCCGATGCCAACGAACATCCACCTATACAAACAGAGCAACGACATAGGAGCCAGAACCAAAAACTGCAGAACAACGCCTAACTAGGTAGGACACCAATGGACAACCCACATCCAGATGGACAACCAGAAACCCGCGCCCAGAGAGCCATACTCAGGCCCAGACCCTGAAAACCCAGCCCTTGGCCCAAACTCATCGGTTGTCCCTTCCGCCCAACACCACAAATGGAAGGGACACGATGAAAAATGGCTGAACCCTCAACCCCGATCCCCACAAAAGAAGAATCGAAGCCACGACTCACCCCGAAGAAATGCCAGAAGCCCGCTCATTGCTGTGGAAACACCGGGAAGTTGGTCGCCCTTATCTTCGTCATAGCGACCTGAAACCCGACAAAAACTAGTCAGGGAATTGAGCACCTCCTCCGCCAGCAAAAACACCACCTCCAGATGGCGTTTCTCCAAGAATCGGGCCATGTAGCCCAAGGACGCCACTGTCGAGAAACCACGGCATCCCCGCTGGAGAAGGCGCCGAAATTGAAGAAGCGAAGATTGGGGTTTTTTCGGGAAGAGAAGCGAGAAGAGAAAGGGGGAAAAGTTTTTGGTCAACTCTTTCTCTTTTGGTCTTTCAAGAATAAAGTTGATTTAGTGTGATGAGAGATATTGTAATTAAATAATATTTAAAATATAATAATTAAAGTTGATATGATGTAAAAGTAAGAGAGAGATAATGAAAGTAATATGAAATTAAAAATATGTGAGTGGATGAATAATGAATTAAAGTTGGACGAGCTTTGGCCATAAAATACATATAAACCTTGTTTGGTTGGATGAGCTTTTTCAAAAAGGTCGAGCTTATCTCATAAGCTAGTTTAGATAGCTTTTCAAATAAGCTAGTTGAATTTTTTATTTCAGCTATCTTATCAACTAATTTTAGACGAGTTTTTTAAAAAGCTCAATCTTATCTCATAAGCTAATTTAGGTATCTTTTCAAATAAGCTAGTTGAATTTTTTTATTTCAGCTAGCTTATCAGCTATAAACTATAAGCTCACAAATTACATATAAACTAATTTATCAGCTATCAGCTAGGTTATAAGTTAATTTTACCAAACATAGCAATAAACCATATAAAACTTCATACGACATCTATGTGCAAAAAAATTTCACTTACCAACATTAGACTTTTTGCAGTGTTTAATACAAAAAATACGTTCCTAATCAGTTATCGAAGAAATTAACAAGATATTAGCATCTCATTACTCATTAAAAGGATAAGAGCGTACATCCTTATCCTTAGCTATTTTAACATTCAATCTACACTCTACACATGCATGGTGAGATGCTTGGTCGTACTCCTGCATTGTTGGCTTGTGGTGCTGCCATCACAGGGGGCTCGAGCATGCTTTTAGTTGTTGTGATAAATTTGTCTTCATGCACACCTAGGAGCTCCATGTTGGCAGACTGAGGAGAAAGAGGTAATTTAACCAAATTTATTAATTTTTATCTGAACTATATTATAAAATATTAAATTTTGTCAAAATGGATTACTAAGCATGTACCACTTAATCTTAGCGTATTTTGGATTTATAAATTTGGGGATATCACACGAAATCTATCATTATATAAAAAGAATAACCTTTTTACAAATTTAGAAACTTTTTCCTGCCATAATCATTAAATATATCTTACATATAGTAATTATAGGACAAATCTGAATAGGCAAAAAATCGGCTCATTAATTGTGTAAAGATTTATTTCTCTTTTTTCTGTTTTTTAGTTTATCAAAACTGTTGTTTGACAATAAATATTTGTTTTTATTTTTTTCATTTTTAATATAAATCTACACGAGCTTATCTCTTCTGTTACAAAATCCAATCCCATACGTTTTAGAAAATCTCATCCCTTATCTATACAGATTAAAAAAATAAAATAAAATAGTAATCAATTCATAATTACTACTAGAAATCTATTATCTTTAAAAAGAAAAAATAAAATAAAATAGAAACCAATTCATAATTACTACTAAAAATTCATTATCTACTTTAAGAAGCTAATTTTAATCGGTCTAATTACTACTATTTTTACAAATATTATAAGCTAATCATACAAAAAAGTATAATAATAATTTTGAAATGGTGTGTAATCAAATACTTTTATATTCTCTTATACAAAATAATTTTACATTGTTTGACCCCGAAGCTTTAATTTATAATTATTAAGTATTGTTTATCCTCCTCTTTAATTTATAATTATTTTTTTTCTTCCTCTTTTTAAATAGGATCAATAGTAGTTTCGACTTCCGCCATTGAGTGACTCAAACTCAAGGTCTATTTATAATATTGTTAATTTAATATTGTTGCCGTGCATCGCACGGGGTATACACTAGTCTATACTTATATAAAAGGAGATTTTATTTACTACATTTACTATCCAGAAAAGTCAATTGCATTAAATGCCATTACTATTTTGGTATTATAATATTTTATTTATTTAATTAATTTATTTATTTGTTTTATTTTAAAAAGGTAAGTATAATAAAAAGATTTTAATAATAAAAAAAATCAAATACCAAATAAAAATGTACACTTTGACTTATTTGATTATATTTGGTATTTGATTATACCAAATATATTCCTATTTAGTATATATATTAAATACTTACTAAAGTATTTATTTGTTTTATTTGTCAAAGTTAAGTATAAATTTGTTTATATTATCAAATCATAAAGAAATATTAAATCTATATTGTAAAAAAAAAAATCATATAATTTTATAACGATTCTACTACACTATTTAACAATATTTCTTTTTTATTATATAATAAAATAATAATTAAATATTATATGGCGAACAACAATAAGTAAAACTGTTACTTTCTCTTATATCAAAAGATAAATTTATATGCTAAAACTAAATTTTTATCAATATAAATGTTTTAGTGAGATAATATATTAATTATTTTACAAGCTAGCCCTAACATGCTCATATTTAATGTTTTAAAAGATGTAGAAAAAAACTTTAATAACTCTATTGTTTTTTAGACTTAAACGTTGATTAAAAGAGGTAAAAATTCCTAATTTTTTAGACTTAAACGTTGATTAGCACCATAGATTGAGAGTCTATATTTAGTAAAATTCCTAATTGTAATAAAAAAATTAATTTTTGCTATATTTTAGAATATCTTTAAATTCATTATAAAAAAATAAAAAAAACTACAATGAAAAAAGCAAGTCAGCTATATATCGATTTGTTGTACTCCTCAAATCACATTCATAATTTGGCTACAAGGAAAGGAAACTCATTGATTAAAATATTATTTTGTCAGTAGTCTTAATGTACAAGAGACTTTAAGGCTCCAATTGAATATTATAAAACTTTTATTGAACATTGTACAAT